AATACTGCAGAGATCGATCATCCTTAGCAGTGCCTTTTTGAATAAAGACAAATCTCTGAGATATTTTGGGAAAGAGACAAAAGTGGTAGGTGGGGTGGTAGGTGAGGATAAGTTATTTTGGGAAAGAGACAAAAGTGGTAGGTGGATTGATTGAAGATGGTGAGATCTTTTGAATAAGGATAAAGGCTTGGATCCATCTTCAAATGCCTAGATTGATTTTGCTATGATCTATCGAAGGAATGTTGTGATTGATCGAACTTGATGATTTTCCACACTTTGCTTCCACTTTGCTCCTTTCTTCCATCTAGCTTGAGTTAGCTTCTTTTAAGCTCTTATTTGGCTGAATTAACTTATTTTGGGGATAAGTGCCTAAAAAGTACAATAACATGAAATTAGTCTAAAATAGGAAAGTAAGATAGATAAAGGTCCTAGAATACCTAAGCTTAAGGGGTTTAAATGTGCACTTTTCAGCGTTCATCAGTGTTCATCAAGCACATGTCCATGGGGACAATTGGAAGTAGTTTGCAATACACTTGAACAAGTCATGCATGACTCACAAGAATGATGAATATGATGATTAAGAAGAGGAGATGATTAATTTACCGATTTTTGACTCAATAAAAATTGATCAAGTTTTTGAGTGAGAGTTTTGACTTCGGCAACAATCTCCATTGGACTCTCAATTTGACATACTTTCACATTTCTCTTTTTGTTATTAGAATCATGACTCAACCAAGAAGTGTGAGACTTACTCAATAAATTTTCACTCATTTTCTCAAAAAGGTGCCAAACATCATCTTCATGTTTTCCGAAATATGAACCTCCACATGATGTATCAACAATGTCCTTATGAATGTCGGATAGACTTTCATAGAAATATTGAACCACTTGCCATTTAGGAATGCCATGGTGTGGGCACTTCCTAAGCAAGTCATTCAATCTTTCACAAGCCTCATGTAAAAGTTCTCCTTCCCCTTAAGAAAATTCTCTAATGGCGGTTCTCATAGCATTGGTCAAACTTACGGGGTAATTTTTTTTCAAAAATTCATTTTGCATTTGTATCCAAGAAGTTATTGAATTTGCTCCCAAATAGTTGAACCAATGTTTCGCCTTATTTTTAAGAGTAAATGGGAAGAGAAGTAATCTAAGAAATTCCTCTGGGACATTCATGTATTTTACGGTGGAACATATCTCAAGAAATTCATCAAGATGTTTGTAAGGTTCCTCATCATTTAAGCACTAGAAAAATGGACACATTTGAATAGTCTCAGGCTTAATTTCATAATGATTAGCCCCAAAACTAGGAAGTAAGATGCAAGTTGGTGAATGATATTTACGAAGATTGTAATGATCACGAAGGATCATTGGAGGAATTGGAGCTTGAACTCCGGGAGGAAATTGGTTTAAAGATGGATGTTCCATGAAATTTGGGTCTAAAGAACCAAGATGATCCTCTAGATTTTCCATTAGAATGATGAAGGGTTGATTATGACCACACAAAAATTAAGCACCACAAAATCAACAAAGCAAACACTTCGCCCCCGGAACAAATCAATCAACAAATCTCCTCATACGATGATCTCATACTCCCATGCTCGAACAATATGCAAAGAAAAGTAAATTGCCTCCACGTGGGCTCACGATTTATCTAAGAATTTAAGAACTTGCCACCACTCTGGCAGACGATTTAACTAGAGATTGAGTTAGAAAGATCTCACAAAGGGTCTTTAAGCAACTTCAATTTATTTTTCAATTTTTCCGCTTAGCTTTGCAATTTTAGATTTTAGCCTTTTTGTGCTTAGTTTAGCTCCTTGCTTTTCAATTCACCTTTGCTCAACTTCCTTACTCAATTCACTTAACCAAATAAGAACAAACACAATAAGTAACTAAAAATAAAGTAAATAAAGACACGATCAAAAGAATACTAATTCTTAATTGTTTCCAAAACACGGTGTTGCCAGTTCAAATCCCAGCAACGGCACCAAAAACTTAGTGGGCTCGTCGTCGCAACACTTTAAATTTGTGCAAAATAGTGTGGCCAAGTTTTAAATTTATAAAAAGCCACTACTAACTCTAACTACTAAATATAGCTTGGGTGAGTAGGGATCATCCCAAGGGATTGTGGGCGTATTTGCAATGGAAAGAATATATAGGGTTAGTAGGTCGAGTGATCAAAAGATTGTTTGATTGATTAAACTACTAGCTAAAACTAAGCAAGTTCAATGTAAAATAAATAATAACAAATAAATGATAGAGGGAACAAGAGAGAGGTGTCTTGGGACTTAGAGGTCACCACTAAACATCACCTTTCTAGACACTTAATGTATAATTAATAAGGGGAAACATGTGTTGCAACAATAATGTGTGTGATTGATTGTTTCAACAAGCATGGATGACCAATTAAGTATATATTATCTAAGTAACCTAGTGAATAGCACAATATATCAAACTAAGCCATTATTCCTTCCTTTAAGCTCACAATCTAAACACATCACATGGTTAGAAAAATATGCTACTTGTATTCATAAGCATGGAACATCAAACAATAAGCATAGATTGTCCTCGCATCTAAGAAACTAAGGCAACTACATTACAACTAAGCTAGGAACATGGAAATTAAACTAATTAAACTAAGGGAGAGGCACAATCCATCAAGAAATGACCATGAACCATCAAATAAACCATAAGAGTATTCTATTAAGCACTATACCTTGACAATTTCTAGATCCATAGTATCAACACACATAGACATGCATCAATAACACAAAAACTAGAGATAAACACATGAATATCTATTCTAGCATACATAGACATATGAAAAGAATAAAATGATCAATAGGAAGTATTAAACCACATAAATCATTGTATAAACAAGATTCATATATAAATCAAGAGTTAATACAATATTACAACACAAATCTCCTCAAAATACAAATCATTAAGGTCTAGAAGGCATGCTTAGGGCTAACTCTAGCCTTTAAAAGATGGTTAGCCACTCATTAATGTAGTCATCCAACCCTTAAGGGCCATATCCATGGTAGAAATGCTCTTCTCCTTGGTTGAAACCCTAGAAGAATGGAAGAACTCCTAAAATAGTGTGTCTCTAGTCTCTAGCCTCTCCTCCTCCCTTTTCTTAGTCTCTAAGTATGTATGTGAATGAATCTTTTGATGATATGAAGATATGATGTAAAAATGGCTCAAAATCCTTTTATAGGTAGCTCAAGTGTCACACTCAATGGTCTGGACTCGTGCACTAGGGTCCTTTCAATGATTGCACCATGAGCCATCTTTTAATGAGCTGGACTTTATTTTAATTCAGACTTGAGGAGGTTCAATCGATCGAGTTCAGATGAGATCGATTGAACTGTGGCCAGATCCATCGGATTTAGGCTAGATCAATCAATCCTTGGTGGCGCCTTTTTGGAATAAGGCAAATCTGAGATATTTTTGGGATATTTTGGAAAAAAGATAAAAATGGTAGATCGGGATAAGATCAAGGAAGTTCAATCGATCTGAAGAAAGTTGGATCGATCGAAGATGGAAATTCTTTGAGGATAAGGACAGTGAGACTGATCCATCTTGGTGAAGTGAGATCGATCAATGTGAGATCGATTGAAAATATTCCTAATCGGTTGAAGATTGCTGATTTCCACCACTTTGCTCCAATCTTCCATTCAGCTTGAGATTGCTTCTTTTATGCTCTAATTTGGCTGAATTGACTTATTTTGGGGATAAACACCTGAAAAGGGCAATAACATAAAATTAGTCTAAAACGGAAAAGTAAGATAGATAAAGGTCCTAAAATACTCGAGCTTAAGGGTTTAAATGTGTACTTTTTAGCGCTCATCATTTTTTGCTCATTTTGAACTATAGAGGGTTTTTTTGCTCATTAGAATATAGTTGAGGGGGGTTTAATGCACTTTACTCGCTAACTTATAATAATATAGTAATAATAATAATATTACGGGTAAAGTGCAAAACACCCTCCTGAATTATGGGCTAAAATGAAATAAACCCCCCTGAACTACAAAAAATACAATTAACCCCCTGAACTATGGTACTTCGTTGTAATTTACCCACTCTGGTCACCGGCAGAAATTTTTTGACCATTTTAAGAAGTGTGTATGCCACTTTTTTCTTTTTCTAAATTCCCATTTCACCCTTGTCATACAAAAATACCAAAAAGCCCTTATTCCCCAAATCCTACCATAATTTGTATTTGTATATATATATATATATAGATTTCGTCTCTCTCTCTCTCTATCTGTCTCTCTCATCGCTGTCTCTCGATCATGATTTCGGCAAGATATATACAGATTATTGGTCCGATCTGTAATATATTTCTTCTCCTTTTTTTATCATCTACCATCCACATATATACGCAGATATATATGGATTATTGCAATGGATGAGGTCAACTGGTGAATCCTCTTGTAATTCTGGCATTCGAAGAGGTGTGTTCAAGAATAGGAGATGTTTTTATGGTGTCATGGTTGTTGTATACGTATCTGACTCCAACAATAATCCAGGTAAGCTATACTTCAAATGAAAGAAAGAATTAGGTCCTTGTACGTTTTGGGAATGGTGGGTTAAACCTAGTATCCGAGATGAAGTAGTAGCACCTAAAGTACCAGTATCAGCACCAGCACCACGCCTAGTTGTTTTACCTTCTTCACTAAGTTTTGTGAATGATGGACTGCCATTGAATGTGTGCAAAGCATTTAAGCAATTATATTACCCATATTTAGTACCATTTATTGACACTAATAGCACCTACAAATTGAGTTGTGAGTTGCAACCATCAGAACTTATAACTTATAGCACCTGAGCTACAGTTACTACATGTATTCACATCAATCAGTACATGCACTTACTACCTATATTCACATCACTGAACACAATTTTTAACAAGCATTACTGAACTGGACTAAGCACTTATAGTACTTGTATTCACTTAACTTAATGTCTGCACTTGCTACCTGTATTTACATCACTCCATCCAATAATAACATATGACCATTATAAGTAAGCATACTGAACTGGATTTACATAACCAAATCATTCTTATAATAACGATAACCAAAGTACTTAACATTCTTTCATAACACCAAAGTACTTAACATTCTTACATAACACCAAAATACTTAAACATTCTTACATAACATTAACTTAATGCATGCTACATGTCAATGACACAATGAGACAAAAAATACTTCCAGTTCTTCATGTCAACAGTAGCTATTATCAATTCAGTACCAACCACACCCAAAAATCTGCAGTTGAAGTTATTTACCATGAAGCATAATCACTGTTCATCATAGACCTATAAAAGAAGTTGGGAAAATAAGTGATTTATTAACATGTCTATGCATTAACTTATTAATAAGTTGGCATGAGAATGAAACACATCTAGAACTGGATGCTTGTGTTGATGATAGCTGTGAAAATGATATGTTATGAACCTATTAAGAACATACACAAGTTAGGAATTTCATTGTTAAAGGAAGGACAAAAAAAAAAAGTGTACCTCTTGACTCTGAATTGCAGTAGGAATTTCATTTCCAACAGCAGTTCGTCCACCTCTTGCACCTCTCATGCCCCTTCCTCTCAATAGTATTCCTTTTCCTCTTCCTCTTCCAAGTATTAGTGGTCTGCCTCCCCTTTTTAGAGGAGGTTTCTCAATGACCAATGGTGCAGGGAGTTTATAAGTCCTTGAGTTATGGCCTTTCTCCTTGCACTTTGAACGTGTTAACAGATCATTTGACCTACTAACCTTGGTTGGCTTGCTTGAAGTACTAGGCTTATCATTTTTCTTATTCCTTGCCTTCTTTGGTCTACCAATAGGTTTCCTAAAGATTGGTGGAAACAATTGCTCACTGGGTTGTGATTTCAACAACTTTCTCATGGGAAATGGATTGATCAAACCTGCATATACCTTCAAGTAGGTTTCCCTATGATAGCATGGATCAATATATGATTCAGGCATATCCCCCTTCTTGTAAAAATGCATGCTACAACATGTTTACAAGGGATACTAGTCATATTCCATTCCCTGCAGTTGTGACTCTTCTTTCCAAGATCAACTGCCTCAATGATACCAAAACACTCAACCTCATACTTGTTATCACCAGTATAGTGCACGTTAGACATCTTTGTTGCCTTCTTCACTTTGTTCAATTTATTTTGAATATCTGGACACAATAAGCCATCATTTGATTCCATCCACTCCCTCTTTTGTTGGAATCTCAGAGTGAAATGCCTCCTGATCCACTCTAACATATAAATTATTGGTTTATCCCTGGCTTTAAGAATGACAACAATCTAGCTTTCACATATATTATTGATCACCATTTCACTTTTTGATCAGTATATGAAACCTGACCTTAACCACATTTCAGATGGCACATTTCGAAGCCAACCATAAGCTTCGACATTCAACTCCTGTATCTTCTTCATATGTGCATCAAAATTAGCTTCTGTAAATGACCTTGCAGCCTCCCACAACTCAAGTTGAGTCAATTTTCAACTGTTGCCCTTTAAATCTGAAGTTCTCATACAGATGCCTCACATAATATCTATGGACCGAACCCTCCATGATATTCTCAAAAGTTTCAACCAATCCCTGCATTAATAACAAATTGTTTAAAAATAACATATTTTAAAATAACAAATTTTAAAATAACATACTGTAGTAAAATACTGACCTTTTGTATAGCAGATATGAATGTGATGTCAGTATAAGGCCCCACAGCCTCTATCAGTTATGTTATAAACCAACTCCAAGAATCCCTTATCTCAGCCTCAACTACTGCAATTGCAACTAGGAACATTTGTTTATTTCCACCAATAGATATTGCACTCAAAAGGTGGCCACCATATGAACCCTTCAAAAAGTAACCATCAATACCAATAATTTTCCTACAACCTTCTTTGAAACCCTTCCTCATTATAGCATAACAGATGAAAACCCTTTGAAATCTCCTTACATTCTGTTCACATGTGGGGTTAGTTTGAATTTTAACAACACTTCCTGTGTTAGATGTATATATTAACTGACAGTATTTCCTCATCTTTTGATATTGTTCTGCTTTATTTCCCTGAATGATTTCAATAGCTTTTCTCTGTACCTTTCTTACTTTGTGTTTGGACACATCAATGTTTATATCAGAAGCAATAATGGTCCTTAGTGTATCACAAGGTATGGTTGGGTTCATTCTCAGTTGCTTTAAGTACTTAGTGGCTAAGTAAGAAGACGATGCTTGTCCATTAGTATGAAACCAAAGATAGTTGGTATGTTCTGACTTATATGTCTTCACTATCAAGCAATCCGGACTGGTTTGCTTGCAAATACTTTCCACCCACATTTAGCCTTACATACTGCAGAGATCCTATCACCATCATTTCTTTTGAACTTTATATTAAACTTGCCCTTCAATGCTATTTCTTTAAGTGCCAATCTAAAGTGTGCAGCTGTCCCAAATTTCATTCCTAATTCTAGTTCTTTTACATCCAAAACCCTTGAAGGAATATACTCTGGGTACTTAGGACCACTATCCTCCTCATCTAATCCACATAAATTAATTAACTTATCACTCAGAGCGTAATCTGAATCTTGTTTTGAGATATCATCACTTGACCTATTTGAGTCTGAGCTATCTATTGGAAGCTTAATCTTTTCCCCTTGCACATTTAACAAAGGTGGAACAATGTAAAACTTGATGATAGTTGTTACCCTCTTAGCTTAATAGTCATAAAATATGCTAAGTACATCCGTCATACTCAACCTTTCTGAAGCTTTGACTACCCTTTAAAAATGGTACTTTGTAAAACACTTCAACCAGCCATCTCTTAAATATCATCATATGACATGATGTCTGGGTCAACTATTGGAATCATAGTGAAATATTCTTCTATATACGACATAGGGGGTGTTTTAGAGAACACACCCCCATGATGGAGTTCAATGCTGTAAAGTGCATCTACATAAATAACATAAACCTACATACTTTAATCATATTTGACAGTAAACAATTTAAAAAGTTAACCAAATACTTTAATCACATATTAAAGTAAACAACTAAAAAGGTTGTTGAGATTTCAAAAAGGTCAATAATAAGCATAAAAAGTCCAAAAGTGCAATAGAGGATACACTTAAATAAGAGTAGGAAAAAAAAAAAAAAAAAAAAAAAAAAAAAACTAACTTGAGCAGGACCACTTCACCAGTAACATTCTCAAAACCAACTGCACACTTTAATCATTAATAAGCACAAATAAATAAATAAATAAATAAATAAAAATAAAGGAACAACAAGGACCACTTACTAATAAAACAACATACAAATGGGCCACTGAATGACGGAATATAACATATAAGACACAAATAGTGAAAGCATATATAGTGTTTGATGAAATAAAGAACAATAAGATCATAACTTTATACATAAGGCACATATCACAAGTCTTTTTCTGTTGGTCGACAACAAAACAAAACTTTAAATTTTTTTAAAAAAATTGTTAGCAAGATTCTTTACATAATAAATCATGTACTGTGAACCTTAAATTGGTACAATGTTCATTGTTGAGCCAAGTGTTTCTACCAAAAATTATGCAGCCATGCACCATTATCACGTCCCATTCACAGATGAAAAAAAACAAAAGAAAAATAACATCAAAGAAGAATCCTAAACCCTATCATTCTTGCAACAAAAAATAGTACAACACTTGAGAAATTATAGCATCTCAACTGATTTTCGTGGTTTAAAAAAAAGAAAAAGAAAAATCAAATCAAATTATAATACTAAACCCAAACATTTTTGAGACATAAAATCGTACCCAACAACATTATAACAGTTGAATTCACAACTATTTTTTGTGGATTAACACCATATTTTGCAATTAATAGTTAAATATTTACCGATTGAAGAACAAAAATCAAGTACGCTTACAGTTTTTGGCTTTTTCTCAGTTGCGATCCTTGGCTTCAGAAGCTTGGTGGTCTCCAAGCCAAAGTAGTTGTATTCGGCACAAAGTGGGAATGAGATATAACTGAGGTGGTTCACATTCCTTATACCTAGGGTTGTTGATAAGGTGGGTGTTGAGGTGTCAATTTGTTATTGGCTCTTTAGATTACAATCTGCCATGTCATTGGTTTCAAATTTAGGCCTATGGAATTTTAATGAAACTACGTCGTTTTGTATGAGGGTATGAATGTCATTTAACATTTTTGGTGTAGGAGTTTACCCAGAAAAGTTACTATTGTCCTTAATTGCAACAAATTGATACTTTAAGGGGTTTTTTTTATAGTTCAGGGAGGTTAGTTGCAAATGACCCATAGTTCAGGGGGGTTTTTGCACTTTACCCTAATATTAATAATAACAAAAAAAATATGGGTTATCACAACCTACCCTCCTAAAACTAAATTTTATCCCCGAAATTTAAATCATACATAGCCGATATCTCAAAAAGATTAGGATACTTCTTTTGGATTTCAGACTCTAATTCCCTTGTAGCTTCTTCAGTTTCATGATGTCACCACAAAGCTTTAACTAAGTGAATTGTTCTAGTGCGCAAAACTTGTTCCTTATTATCCATAATTTTTACAGGTCGTGCCTTGTGGGAGATATCTTCTTCCAATCTGAGGTCCTTCTAATCCAGAATATGTGTTGTGTATCGCTCATATCTTTTCAACATAGATACACGGAAGACATTATGAATACTTTAGAATTAAGGGGACAAAGCCAATCGATAAGCCACTTCACTCACTTTTTCAAGGATCTCAAATGGGCCTATGTAGCGTGGAGCCAATTTTCCAGTCTTGCCAAAACGTTTGATTCCTTTTTGGCCTATAACCTTAAGGAATACATGATTGCCAATATTTAATTCCAAAGGTTGTCTCCTTTGATCAGTATACCTTTTCTGACAGCTCTGAGCTATTAAAAGTCATTACCGTTGAACTTTAATATTCTCAGTTGTTTCTTGAACTAAGTCAGGACCCAAAAGTACTATTGTCTCACCAACCTCTGCCTAAGAAATAGGCAATCTGCATGGTCTACCGTATAATGACTCGTAGGGTGACATTATGATGATTGAATGGTAATTGTTATTATACAATAATTCAGCTAAAGGTAAGTGATCCTTCAAGTTACCACGAAAATCAATCACACAGGCTCTTAGCATATCTTCAAGAATTTGTATGGTTCTTTCTGATTGACCATCCGTTTGTGGGTGATAGGTTGTACTAAAGTTCAAATGCGTTCTTGTTTCTTAATGAAGACTACCAAAATTGATAAGTGAATATGGGATCTCTATCTGACACAATAGACATAGGCACGCCATTGAAATTTTACTATCTGTTTAATATAAAGGTTACTAATAGCTTCTACCGAATTCGTGACCCAAATTGCTAAGAAATGCACGGATTTACTCAATCTATCTACTATGAACTAAATAGCGTCATGACCCTTTGGGGACTTGGGTAAGCCTATAACAAAATCCATTGCAACGAATTCCCACTTCCATTTTGCTATTGGTAATAGCTGAAGGAAACTTGATAGCTTCTAATGTTCCATCTTCACCTGTTGACACGTGAGATACGTACGGTGACACAAATTGAGTGATGTGATTCTCAGGGTGGAGCCAAGATTTTATTTCAGAGGGTGCACAATGCATTTGTAATTTTTTTTTTTTATTAATAAATATCAAAATATAATTTTTTTAAATCAAAAAGGCAAATAAAAAAAAAATAGTTGTAAAATAATATGTTAAATAAATAGTGTAAAAAGAATATAGTTACAAATATAAGAATCAAAATATTAATTAATAATATTTTAATTAAATACAATCACAAATGTCATCGATAAAAAGAAATAAGTTTTAAAAAATAGAAAAATACATAATTATATATAAGTGAAAAAAGAAATCTTTTGAAAAAGGAAACAAAAATTAGAAAAGGAAAAATATATTGTATATATGAGAAGGGATATATGTAATTTTTTTTTTTTTTTTTTCAAAAGGAAATTAAAAGAATTTGAAAATTTGAGGGGGGGACATTATTTAAAATTACCGTGTAAGTATATATATATACTAAAAAATATGTACCTATGTATAGTAGATTGAAGCAAAGTGAGGGGGGGGCACGTGCCCCCTCTGGGCCTTAATTGGCTCCGCCCCTCATTCTTTATACCACTCCACTAAAATTATGGCACAAATTGTGATACATCTTTGTGCCACCAGGATGAATCAAAAATTTGGAATGATGAGCTCCATGAAGAGTTTCTTACCTTAACTCCACGATTCTTGGTACAAATAATCTACCCAAATACATTAGGCCTCCATCTTTGTCAATGGACCATCATTCGAATCTACCTTCATTATGCAAACTGGCTTGGATAATTGTAGCCTCATTATTCACTTTCTGTGCTTCAATTATTTTCTTCACGAGAATGGGTTGTACGACACAACTATATAAACAAATTTGCTCACCTTGATCTGCAACATGTAAATCATATTCTCCAATAGACTATAGCATCTTCCATTCTTGAACAACGATCGTTAGCGAGTGTTGCAGAGACCAGTTCCTTTTTTCATTTTTGTGGAGGGATTCAGTCAAAAACAAGGAATAGATTTTGAAGAAATTTTCTCACCAGTGGTGAAGATGTCATCTATTCGGGTTGTACTTGGTGTGGTTGCCAGTTTGGAGTTGGAGGTGGAACAACTTGATGTAAAAACAACATTTCTTCATGGTGACATAGAAGAAGAAATCTGCATGGAGTAGCCAGAAGGTTTTCAAACCAAGGGAAAAGAGAATCTGGTTTGCAAATTAAACAAGAGCTTGTATAGGCTGAAACAAGCACTAAGGCAGTGGTACAGAAAATTTGACTTTTTCATGGGGGAGCATGGGTACAAGAAGACAATTTCATATCATTGTGTCTTTGTCAAAAGATTTGCAGATAATGATTTTATTAGTCTCCTACTCTATGTAGATGACATGCTCATTGTTGGTCATGATATGAATAAAATCAACAAGTTGAAGAAAGAGTTGAACAAGTCTTTTACAATGGAAGACTTAGGGCAAGCAAAACAAATTCTTGGCATGAAGATTACCCGTGATAGGAAGGTGTGGACATGGTTCAGCCACGTCACCAAAGGTCAAGTCAAATAGTCAACACTTTGACAAGATCCACCTCAGCAAGGTGAGCAATAGTCGACCATTGGGCCTTAAACTTTGAACCAAACATTCGGTCGATGGATCCTAGGCCTTGAACCACGAGCCATCTCCGCAGTCGATCGACGGGCCTTGAATCTCGATCCGACCCCATCACAATTAGTCAATCGATGGGCCTTGAACCTCGATTCGACCCCATCACAGTTGGTCGATCGATGGGCCTTGAACCTCGATCTGACCCCATCATAGTTGGTCGATCGACGGGACTTGAACCTCGATCTGACCCCATCATAATTTGTCGATCGACGGGCCTTGAACCTCGATCCGACCCCATCACAATTCATCGATTGACGGGCCTTGAACCTCAATCCGACCCGATCATAATTTGTCGATCGACGGGCCTTGAACCTCGATCCGACCTTATTACAATTCGTCGATTGACGGGCCTAGAACCTCGATCCGACCCATCATAACTTGTTGATCGATGGGCCTTGAACCTCGATCCGACCTCTTCATAGCTTGTTGGGCAACAGGCCTTGGGCCTCTGATCATCACAGTTCGACGACCGACATATCCTGAGCCTCGAATCAATGTAGCAGTAAATCATCAATTGATGGGCTTTGATCCTTTATTCAAGCAACGAAGAGCTATAGTAGGGCTCTTCGAGTGACATTGGGATGTAGAAGGGATTTTGGAATGGAGGATGGAAAATTAGTAATGTCTTGCCCACTAAGGCAAGATCCAGTTTGAGGATAAGAGCAAAGGACAGCTGGAATAGTACAATCGCCTTTATAGCCTGTCATTCTTGGATTATTCAACAGGAAAGGTACACTTGGCAGTTGATCCAAAAATATAGGGATTAGGGCAACATGACCCAAAGAGGCATGATTCTGACCCGCTTTAAAGATGGAGGCCCAACAATGTACTACCTGGATGACCTAGGGCTATAAAAGGAGGCAGTGACAAAAAGAAGCGGGTAAGAACTGACGGCAACTCCTTCCCTACCATTGCTCAAGATTCTCTCTCTAGACTGGTTTTCTCTCCCTTCTTCTTACCCTTCTGCAATCTTCATATTACTGAGTGGTATATTCCCAGACCTTTTTGACTCTTCCAGGACCCATGCAAAACCACGTATCTACATTTGGTGACTCTACTGGGGATTATCCTAGCAAGACGATGAATCCAGATGAGGTTCCTCCTCCGGCATAGGCAGAGGTGTCTGCTGTTGGCGCCACCAGTGTTAAGGCCATCAGTGCCAAAGCTACCAGTGTAAGAGATGCTAGCACAAGGGCCACCAGCACCAGGTCTCATTCCTTAAGATCCAAACACAAGTCCAGCACTGATGCTGTTCTAGAGGCTATGCAGGCAATGAACCACCAGCTGATGACCCAGATGGAAAGGTTTGAAGAGGCCCTTCACGTTCTTGATAGAAGGGTTTCAATGACACCAAGCACGGTTCAAACGGAGGTCCCTTTAGCGACTCAGGTAGCATTCACTATTGCCATTCCAGCTAACATGACTCTACCTCCACAACAAAGTGAGCAATAGATTATGAGGACACCAAGGGGCCAAGATCGTAGTGCTAACCTGTTATCACAGCCCACTTCAGAGTCCTACAACCCTGCATTACAGGTAACCCCTGAGGCCCCTCGTGCTTTCCTACCTCGAGGAAAAGAACCCATGTTCTGTTCCCCGCCTACCTATGCTCAGGAAAACCCCAAAGCACATCGTCCTCTCCCCTCTTACTCTGACTTTGCCCCAAAAGAAATGTTCACACGCTTTGAAGTATGTGATCTTTTCAAGAAGGGCACGCCAACCTCTCACGCCTTGGATTTTGGTAGCGAGCCTCCTT